ATCGAATCTCTTTGAAATGATCATGAGTACCTCACTATTATCAGCAACTCGCGCAGAGATATCAAAACAAGACAGGGTCAACGTAACTTTTCCCCAGTTGGAGTAACTTTTAACTCTATGATCGCTACGGGAATTTTTCTAAATATACCGTACATTGCCAAAATGCTAAGACAGAAAATAACGGTCACAGCCTTTCCATGTTTCCCCTGATTTCGTCGACACGATAAAAAGAAAGAAGGAAAGGGTGCCGCAGGAGGGGAGGGGAGGGGGGAGATCGTCATGATAAAAGAAAGAAGAAAAGGGTGCCGCAGGAGGGAAGGGAGGGGGAGAGATTGTCTAACGATGAGACCTTCCCTCCTACTTCTTCGCTCTCTAGGTCCCCGAGGCCCTCTTAGATCCTCCCCGGGATTAGTTTATTTATCAAAGCACTGTCAAAACATGGCTCCATTTCTTGACTTCTTTTTTTTTGAGCGCCGTCGTTTGAAATATTTGAAATATAAAGTTGACCTATATGTTCCAACAATTTGTTTAAGACCGGTCATTGATTAGTTGTTAATGAACTGTTTACTCATTGGATCCTTTTTAAAGAGTCAGAATTCTTTTCTTGTTACAGAAGTACAGTAAGAGTAATTTTTTCCTTTCTTCTCGCTTTCCAATAGCCCATTTTCTAATTACCCTTGGCCTCATTTTCAAAACGAGTCCTCGTGCTAATCCTTTCATATGATAGTAAGCTTCCATTCACATACAAATTAAACTCATTTTCACAAGAATGGTTGAGCACGAGGACTCGTTTTGAAAATGAGGCCAAGGGTTATTCGCAAAGGGGCTATTCATGTCACATGATGCCCCTCGTTCCTCTTGATTCTCGATCAGCTCCCAGGCGTGCAAACAACACCCCGCACCTAATTAGTGACGCAGCAGCGGATTATTGGATCCTGTTGTTAATCCATATTCATCAGGAGTTATAGAATTTTCAGCAATCCGCGCTGTCCGTAAGGCTGAATTTTAAGTTGCATTCTGAAGGGAAGAAGACAGCGGAACTGTAAATAAAGTAGAGCAACGGAGGCACTCTTAAGCTACTACAACATAAGGTGAGCATTTCCTTGGGAAAATATTTGTTTTAAATCCTCCAGACAGATAAGCAAGTCGTATCATTTCAGTCAAACGAGTTTACGTGAGTCTGTTGCATGGTCTGAGCGGTTCTTCAACTCGAAACTTGCTTGAATTAGGGTGTTCGCCGTTCGAGAAAAAATGACAGAACCAATGACTTAAAAGAAATTGGAGAGAATCTCACGGCTATATTATTTGGCGAAACACTGAAATAAAAATTTTGAGAAGTACATTCTGAAGGTAAAAACGCGGCCACGTGGATATGTTACTACTCCTCTTCAAATAATCCGAAGTCTGTGCTTCATTGTGACTGATTTACATTTTGGAAAGTTTTGGTGTGTTCCGTTAATGCTACATTTGTGCTATAGAGCAAAGAAATAACGAAGAACTTAAATTTTACGCTACCAAGAATATGCCTTCTTTTTGAGAGAGAAAACATTCCCTGATCACATTCATAATTCATATTTTTAGGAGAAGCCGTAAGAAGGATGGAAGAACAAGGATTTTGGTCAAGATAAGACTCTGGAATGACTGGATTGTTAGCGGATTCTGCAAAGATAAGAACTGTTAAAGTTTTGAGTAATAGTAGCAAATGATACCACATTTGTGTCCCTTTGAACTTCAGTCGTATAATAAATCTTTTATTAACCAAGCTTGCTCGGGACCGTACTGGAAGAATATCGACCCTCGGTCTTTAATGTACGGACCTCGCTGCGCTCGGTCTGTACTGTCAAGACCTCGGGCCGATATTCTCCCAGTATGGCCCTTGCGCTTGGTTAATAAGATATATGTATTGCCAACAACAGAAAGAGCAGCTTTTAGTGCCGTCGTTTTGGCAGACTGTGGGGCTCCAAATAAGACAGGTAGAGCACATCCACCGAACTTCTTGACGACAAGGTCATAATTGGCACCAATGGCGACACATGCGATGGTCATAAGACCTTTAGGGAAATTATTAGCCAGCAGATTTTGCTCAGCCAAAATAAGATTCTGCAGNAAACATTCCCTGATCACATTCATAATTCATATTTTTAGGAGAAGCCGTAAGAAGGATGGAAGAACAAGGATTTTGGTCAAGATAAGACTCTGGAATGACTGGATTGTTAGCGGATTCTGCAAAGATAAGAACTGTTAAAGTTTTGAGTAATAGTAGCAAATGATACCACATTTGTGTCCCTTTGAACTTCAGTCGTATAATAAATCTTTTATTAACCAAGCTTGCTCGGGACCGTACTGGAAGAATATCGACCCTCGGTCTTTAATGTACGGACCGAGCGCAGCGAGGTCCGTACTGTCAAGACCTCGGGCCGATATTCTCCCAGTACGGCCCTTGCGCTTGGTTAATAAGATATATATAACAGAATTTACCTTACTATGACTAAGAAACGGACGAACATCATTTTAGTCTGACAGCCACTAACTTTACGAGCAACAAAACTGATCAATTAGTTTTACGAACGTTGTAACGTTCGACTTAAAAACAACTCTTCACTTGACTCTAAGGCTAGCTTCTGCTCAGGCCAGTCGCTAACTTAGGCGACAGTCCTCTTCAGGACTACACTCTACTGAACGATCGCACTACACGATTGACTTTACAATTAAATACGAAATGCTACCAAGAGAAACATTGGCCCAAAACATTATTCCTTCAATTGATTGTATTCTCGGCAGGAACTGATTAAACTGGAAGTTTAAATACTTTTGTCAAAAATAAAAAAAAAAAGAAGCACTTGTTTTGTCATTCATGAAAGAAAAAACTAATACGGTGCCATCTTAGCTCCTGTGTTAATTTCTTTTCCGTGCACTCAACCGGTGTTGGTTTTAAAGAAGAAGTTTTTTTGTTTAAAACTCTAATGCCTGGTCAAGAGCTTAATTGTTCTAAAACATGGTTGAATTGAAATTTTGCGCTGTATAAACCAGTTCAAATTGACTCCTCTTTTCAACGCCGGAATATAGACTCGCAACTTCCGAATAGATTTTATTTGATACAAATGCCGAAGATTCTTTCGCAAATCGTTAAAAAATGGTCAACAGTTTGGATGAAGATCAGCTTGAACATATGAGCCAGTCTTTCGGCTGATAAAAATTAAGTCGAGTATTGCCCTACGTTAGTTTTCATGAAAGAACAAATTTTTCATATAATCTCAAACGAACGAGACAATTAAAGAAAATATTGTTATTTACTCGTAACCTTATGAAATTTTGGCAAGGCACGTGCACTTTTCCATACGTAAGTTCAAATCAGTTAATTCAATTGTTAACCAAATCACAGGCGTTATGTTCGGCTTTCTTGCTGAATTCACATATCAATCACACACAACGTGGAAATCCAAGACATTATGAACATACAATAGCATTGAAATTTGTAGAGAAAGCACGCTGATTTTACCAAACCGAAGTGCGAACGCAACCAAAAACGCAGAATGAAAGGTGATTTTTACTCTGCCCTCTTAATAAAAATCTGGCGCTTTTTAAATTCTATAGTGCGATAGTTGTCTTTTTGCTGGTTTATACAACCTTTTTTCTTCAATACGAACTTTTCTGATAATTCAATTAAAGGCGCAGTCAAGGGCCACTGGTTTGTCAGTTTTATAGTGTTGTGTTTTACCCTCTTTAAATAAAGTTGATTATTATTATAAAATGAATCCCTTGTTGCTCTTCGTACCAGGCATTTGGTTTTAAATTGATACCGCTAGTTACTCCTTATTATAAATGGAAGGAAGATCTTTAGTGCAGTCAATCGATGTAACACAGGAATACGGAACGAAAAAAATTATGACAAATATCTTTAGATTCAATTTATAATTGCGATAGAACATTAAAGAAATATTGAAATAGGCGAATCTCTTCTTTAAACGTTGCTGTAGGAGTTCAAAGTGATCGTAATTAACTTGGAGCCTAATTGTGATGTGTCCTAGCCCTCGGCTAGAATCAAATCAGATTAAAATAATTTGCTCCAATAGTTGATATTATTTTATTTATCAGATCCCTTCGTGAATCAATTTTTTTTAAAAAAATTGGGAGTCCAATTCTGAAATATTTTGATCCCCGTGGCTTAAATCGAATTAAAAGTTTGCTCCAACAGTGCATATCATATTTCGCGAACTGCGTCGCCAAAAAGCTTGGAGCCTAATTGAAAAATGTCTTCGCTCTTGTGGCTAAAATAACATTTAAAGAATAAGCTCCAATAGTCACAGCCATTTTATTTCTTAAATTGCTTCGCGAATTTCCTTTGAAAAACCTTAGAGCCTAATTATAAAATGTTTTAGCTCTTGGAGCTAAATCAAATTCAAAGAGTTTGCTCCAATAACTTTTTTCACTCAACTTTAGTCCAAAATCTTTTATTTTTTTCGGTACTTTAACAACCTGTCCTGTGTTACATTTGAAAAGTGGCTGCTTTAAAGGTATTTATTCCGAAAAACATCATGGCGAGGTATAATCTTTCAAAAAATATTGGTTACGAAGACAAACTTTGTGGATTTCTAGTTGAACCTATGTAGCTCATTGGAAATAACTTCCAAACAGTATCTCGTGCAAAGAAAAAAGAAGATTAAGAGGACTAGTATAGTCAGCATTTCTTTGAAAAGGATGAAACAGTATTTTTGAGGCGAATTTTTTTTTGCACGAGATGCTGTTAAATTATACTTTGGCAGAAGTTTCAAAAGAGGCTTCGTTAAAATTTTTGCCGAAAAAGTTGCCAGGGGAAGCTCTGTGCAAATTGGTTCAAATTTTCTCGCCAAAAGTCTTAGTATATATACGAAAATTTTTCCTTCATGCCTTATTAATGATTTAATTGAAAAATACTTCATTAATTAAGAGAGAATTTAAAATGAATAAACTGCTCATTGAATATCAAAACCTGTGATTTATTGAGTGAATATTGAAGACAATAATAGACGAGACTGATCACTTTACTGTTCATACCACTAGCATATTAAATTTAAAAAAAAACGGCGCATGCGTATTTTTGAGCTCCGTATTTTTCTAAGTCTTTTGGCGGGAAAATTCGCCATATTTCAACAGAATAAATAAAGAGGCATGCGTACTAAACGTGACCGTATTTTTCTAAGATTTTTGGCGGGAAAATTTGAAACTTTTAAACCCGCTGAGGTTGACTATCAAACTGAGAAATAAAAATTTAAGCCAATAAATTCGCGACACAACATTTGCTTTACGATTTTAGTAAAATAAGTGTTGGCTCTGACTCGTCCTAGTCTCGAGAGAAGTGCGCTTCATCTGTTTTGTAACTCAGAATAAATCTTGTCTTTCTCCTTGATTCGTGCTTGAAGCATCGGTGATATTCACCCGTCAATCTGCAAGAAAATCAACAGATCTTACTTCAAGAAACAGTTATTGCATTCAGGTCGCTGCGTCAAAACCCAGGCTAATTAATCGTGTATTGATCGCGATGTTTCGACTGCTACACTGCTGATCTTTGTCCGGCTACGTAGATCAGTAGTCTAGCAGTCGAAACGTCGTGATCAATACACGATTGATTAAAGTGACTCTCACATTGCGAGACAAACGATTAACGTTCATTTATCTATAACAAAGGCTAATTTTCGAAATGTAGGATAAGCAAATATATAGAATACAGTGTCTAGGCACTCTGAAGGAACGTCAACGTGAACATAACCTGGATTTACCGATAAATTAAATTTGGTAACCAAAACAATCTTCACATAAATTGTTGAATTTACATCCTAGCCTTCCTCGTAACTGTGTTCAAATCTTGAGGACTGAGTTCTACAGTTTTGAGTCAACAGGTGAGAATTTTGCATTCAAGCAACAGCAAGTAATAAATGTAAATGTTCGTTAGCTATTCCTCTGAGATCATCTTGCAGAAATGTAACTACTGGTAAAGGAATTGTATGATTTGAGCTTTAGCTGCAACTAGTTTTCATATTTTCTATCACTGTTTGGTTTTTATAATTCTTACATGAGACGAAATACTCTGCCCTTTTCCTCACATTTAACACAAGAAAACAAATATCTAAGAAGCCAATAATTTTCCCAAGCGACTGGCTGCGTGCACCTTATAAATTTCAAACACGGTACGTGAAAATTGTGAACAATTTTAATAACAATAAAAAAAATGACACATATTTTGTCACAATATGGCTTGGCAAAGCTATGTCACACAAGGCTTTCGATATTTCATTTACGTGGCAGGAGACAGATAATGGTTTCTGTGCTTTGGTGAATAAGCGCTACCACCAAACCGAATCATATTAAACAATTTGTTTTGAAAGTTATATAACCGCATTTACTCGATTAAACGTCGAACTCAATTAGTAGAATGCGGAAGAAGAAAATGAAAATAACGCTCGAAACGTCAGCTTTTATAATCCTAACGGTGGCCAATTTATCATTTCAGCTTTGTTGATACATTAAAATAGAAATAAACTGGAACATCAAGTTAAGTAAAAATTGGAAGTTTATACTGTATGAATAAAAAAGCAAGACATTGGAATTCTAAAAAAGTATCGGTGTCGAATGTTGAATATTATTCGCAATTGATTTTTCGTGATTGTTGGTCAGTGATGCATGGTTCAAATAATATGATTGTTAAATAAACCCCGCCTTAGAACAGAAGCCACATCGTAAACGCTACAAATTCAAGAACAACTGCAGTGTCTAATCAAGACGACGGTTTTCCTCTCTATGCAATCAGTGTCCCTAAACTGCGAATTTCAAAACGCGTTTTCAGTATGTAACGCAGTAGACTAGACTGCAACGCACGGAACATTTTTTCGAGATTAAAATTGTGCCCTGAAATACAACTAACAATTATAAAGAGGAAATTGGTTCCATTTTGGTTTTATGACGAGAACTAACTAGGCTCCATGTATGTTCTATATTGAGGATTTTAAGATCTTTTCTGAAATTTAGAAAAGAATTCTTTGAAAAATTTTCAATAAGTGTGACATAAATTTTCAGTCTTTGGGCACATTGTGTGAATTTGGTTATAGCTTCAAAAGCCGATGAATGTAACAATCGGTCTCCAAGACTTTGAACTGAAATTAAGTGAAAAAAATTTACCTCGCTCGATAGTTAACCAAAGAAGCACTTCCAGAACAAAATATCCATTTTTTCGTTTTTAAACTATTTGTAATTGGTTAACCTAAAAAGCTAAAACATTAACAAAATATACCTTTAAGATTTTTTTGTTAAGGAATGAAGTAAATCAAGCCTTTATCAGTTGATGACGAAGTGAAATAACTATTTGAGAAAAAGTAAAGAGGTCTATTAAGTAAGAAAAATATTGTGACTTATCAAAACAAATTACCAAAACATTTACCTTATCAGAGTTCTAAAATAGATTTAGAGGAAATAATTCGAGAAATATAAATTTCTGAGCGTAAATTTGATTGAAGGTTAAAGAACTAAGACATCAGTAGATCAATAAGGCTCCAAGGATTTTCCTAAATTACACAAGTGTTTTAATTTTGGTAAAATGTGTCTGAAAACTAAACGTATCAGAGATCTGAAAAAGACCAGCAAAAAATTTTAACAAAATTCATGCCTCAAGACGTTCGATAGTTAGACGCCTAGGATTTTATTGAATGAAGTACACAAGTTCCAATCATAAAAAGAAAATATGCAAATATCAAACTTTTCAACATCTGAAATTTAACCCTGGACAAATATTTGAGAAATATCAACTTCTCCATCGACAAACTTGACGAGGTAGTATCGATTCATTAACCAACCACTGCTATAAACGACTGACTATCAAGCACCTTGATCAAAGAAAGTTTCACCGGAAATAGAACCGTGATTACAGAAAAAAAAAAAGCAAAAAGAATCATTTCTTTGTCCGTAGTTTTTCCAACAGTATTGACTCTTACTCGTTTTGATTCGCAGGGATTCGATAAATCCAAGTTGAAACGTTGAGTACACACCACAACACTAGACTTATTATTCGTGAAAAAAGAAATCTAAATAACTCACGTTTTTGGAAGTTTCCCTTTATTCCTTTCTTTCCTTGAATTTCTTGATTTAGTGACCTCGTCCTATGCTTGATGCTACCCTGACAAGAGAAAAAATAGAAAATTTATTTCGTGAAAATGTGCATACCTAAATTATGGTAAGTACTTTTTATGAAGATCAATTTCAGGATCGAAAAAATACCTTGGAGTCACCACATCACGGATTAACAATTTCGTTGTCCCTAATTGAACGGATTCAACAGGAAATTTCGTTTCCACGACCAAATGCTGCCTGACAAAANGAGTCACTTATGTAACAGTCAAACACAAAACAGATTGTGCTAGTCGCTAACGTAACAATCAAACAGAAAAGAGAATGCACTAGCCACTTAATAATCAAACATAAGTATGATACACGATCCTCGCAGTAGAGAGCGCTATTTATGCAATAGCGAAAATCAGACCTGAAAAAAGTCAGGCCTGTACGGAATTCGAACCACTGACCTCTGCGATTCTTGTGCAGCGCTCTACCAATTGAGCTAACAAGCCAACTGGGAGCAGGCCGTTAAGTTGATTCGTAATAAACCCGTGATGATAAATCAAATGAATATATGAACTTCATATATTCATTGTATTTAATCAAACATAAGACAGATTGTGCTACTCACTTACTGAACAATCAAACAGAATTCGCGAGTCACTTATTTAACAATCAAGCAAAATAACAGAATACGCTAGTTGCTTACCCAACAGTCAGAATACCCAACAGAAGACAGAATACGCTAGTTGCTTACCCAACAGTCAAACAGAAGACAGAATGCGCTGGTCATAAAGTTAACAATAAACAAAAATCGCGCTGGTTGCTTACGTAACAATCAAACCGAGAACAGAATGCGGGAAACATTTACATAGCGATGACAAAAAAAATAGAATGCATGTATCGCTTACGTAACAATCAAACAGAAAACAGAACGCGCAAGTTACTTACCTAGACTTCAACTGGGAAAAAAAGAAAATGCGCTAGTCACTTACGTAACAATCGAACAGAAAACAATGCGCGAGTTACCAATATAAGAAGTACGAAGAAATCAGGATGCGCGGGTTACTAAATTAACAGTCAGACATTAGGCAGAATGGGTGAGTTACCAAAGTAATGATCAAGACAGAAGAAGACAATGCGCGACTTACCAACGCAATAATCACACAGAAAACAGAATGCGCGAGTTACCAACGTAATAATCACACAGAAAACAGAATGCGCAAGTTAACAACGTGATAATCAAACAGAAAACGGAATGCGCAAGTTACCAACGTAATAATCACACAGAAAACAGAACACGCGTCTTACCAATGTAACAACCTCGCAGAAAACACAGAGATTGCACAACTTACCAACGTAAATAATCACATCGAAAACAGAATGTGCGAGTTACCAACGTAATAATCACACGGAAAACTGAATGCGCGAGTTACCAATGTAAGAAGTACGAAGAAATCCGGATGCGCGGATTGCTAAATTAACAGTCAGACATTAGACAAAATGGGTGAGTTACCAACGTTGTGTTCAAGACAGAAGAAGACAGAATGCGCGAGTTACCAACGTAATAATCACACAGAAAATAGAATGCGCGAGTTACCAACGTAATAATCACACAGAAAATAGAATGCGCAAGTTACCAACGTATTAATCACATAGAAAACAGACTACGCGAGTTAACAACATGATAATCAAACAGAAAACAGAATGCGCAAGTTACCAACGTAATAATCACACAGAAAACAGAATGCGCGTGTTACCAAGGTAACAACCTCGCAGAATACACAGAGATTGCACAACTTACCAACGTAATAATCACACCGAAAACAGAATGTGCTAGTTACCAACGTAATAATCACACAGAAAACAGAATGCACTATTTACCAATGTAAGAAGTACGAAGAAATCAGGACGCGAGGGTTACTAAATTAACAGTCAGATATTAGACAGAATTGGTGAGTTACCAACGTTAGGATCAAGACAGAAGACAGAATGCGCGACTTACCAACGTAATAATCACACAGAAAATAGAATGCGCGAGTTACCAACGTAATAATCACACAGAAAACAGAATGCGCAAGCTACCAACGTAATAATCACATAGAAAACAGAATGCGCGAGTTAACATGATAATCAAACAGAAAACAGAATGCGCAAGTTACCAACGTAATAATCACACAGAAAACAGAATGCGCAAGTTACCAACGTAATAATTACATAGAAAACAGAATGCGCGAGTTAACATGATAATCAAACAGAAAACAGAATGCGCAAGTTACCAACGTAATAATCACAGAAAACAGAATGCGCGTTACCAATGTAACAACCTCGCAGAAAACACAGAGATTCCTCAACTTACCAACGTAATAATCACACCGAAAATAGAATGTGCTAGTTACCAACGTAATAATCACACAGAAAACAGAATGCGCGAGTTACTTACGTAACATCTTCACAGAAAACAGAATGTGCGAGGCGAGTTACCAACGTGATAGTCAAGACAGAAGACAGAATGCGCGAATTTCCAACATAATAATCACACAGAAAGCAGAATGCGCGAGTTACCAACACCATAATCAAGACAGAAGACAGAATGCGCGAGTTAACAACGTACCAACTTCACAGAAAACAGAATGCGCGAGTTACCAACCTAATAATCTTACAGAAAACAGAATGCACCAGTTAACAATCTAAATACTGCACAGAAAACACTGAGATTGCCCTCGTTACTTACGTAATGATCAAACCGAAAACAGAATGCGCGATTTACTAACGTAACAATCACAGAAAACAGAATGCGCGCCTGAGTTATCAACCCAACAATGACACAAAAAACAGAATGTGCGAGTGATCAGAAAACACTGAGATTGCGCGAGTTACCAACGTAGTGATCACATGGAAAACAGAATGCGCGAGTTACCTACGTAATAATGGTACGCAGAAAAACAGGTTTTGCGAGTTACCAACATAAGAATGAAACGAAGAACAGTGCGCTTGTCACTAACGTAGCAATCAAACAGGAGATAGAGTGTTCAAGTCACTTAGTTAAACTTAGTAATCAAACATTAAACACAATGTGCGAGTTACCGACATAAAAGTTAAACAGTAAAGGCGAATTTTCGAGTTCTTAACACAAAAATTTCGGACAAATCAGAGCGTACGAGTCACTAACATAGGAAGCAAGTTAAATATGGAATGCGCGAGGTACTAACGAAACATTCAGACAAGGCAAAGTGCATGAGTTCCTTGATAACATTACAGAGTGCAAGAGTAACAAACGTAATGACTTAACACCAAAAAGGAGCGCGAGTCGCTAAAACTAAAGTCAAACAGAAGACAGACCCCTAAGTAACCGCTAACGCAGAAATAAAGCACAGTTAAATTCAACATAGAATTCGTTTAAGTGTTGAATGCGTTTGTCCGCTACGTAACAATGAAAAACAACAAAGTCTGAGAGTAGCCATCGTAAAAGTGAAACAAGGATTAGGGTGACAAGTCATTTGTGAAACAAACAAAGGTAAATGAGAGAGCGAGAGAAACCAACTTGCAAATGAATCGTAAAAAAGAGTGCGCGAGTCTCTATCGTACCTATTAGACAGAAAAGGGTGCGAAAATAACCAACGTAACAACCAAACTCCGAATAGAGTGCTGTATCACTGGTGTAAATCGTAGAGAAAACAGAGGGCACTGCAAGGTAACGCAGCAATAAATAATGGTAATTGAATTTAAAGGATAACCGATATTGAAGGTAATTTTTTCCCTTAACTTCTCAAAAGAAATTCATGTGGACCAACAGAACAAGGTTGTTACAACTCCAGCATTCATGTGCGAAACGAAAGTCCATGAGATACACGATGGTATCGGCAAGATGGTAGAGGCGATCGTGAAGATGGTTTAATTTCACGTAACTGTCAACATGTAGGGCATTAATACAAGCACTAATTAAAAATTAGTGCTCGTATTAACCCGTAGAGGTGATACCTGTAGTAAAGTAGCTAAAGAGATAAAGAGATGGCCATCTGTAACGGAGAGCGGCGTTGAAGCTTTACCAAATACAGCAAGTGTTAACCAGATAAAGGTAATAAATTAACATTGTTTTCTCTTGAGTCTGGTATTGATTTCCTCCGCGGACTGGATACTTGGATTCTGAAAACGTTGGACGTGATTGTTTATTCCTGATGGGTTTAATATTAGCAGTGGAAACCCCATAGCCTTATCTCACCTGATACTCGTTGTATAAAACTCTTAAGGAATGGGTTGTTGTTTACACACAAGTGAAACAAACAGACTTGCCATTGCGTGAAGAAACGAGTCCAAGACTTGTCCAAAATGATTTAGATGTAAAGTCTTGTTACCCTGTCATGTCCGTCTAAATTACGCTTCATTTAGGTGTAATTTAGTAGGATTTGAACTTGTGGAACCCAAGCTAATACCGCAGTCCAATTGAATTCAATCAAATATTTGCTGCTATCCAGTCCAAATTAAACCTACCTTTAGCTGCTGGAATTTAGGCCTGTCCAACTAGTCCAATCCATTCCAAACCGGCCCTGTCCTTAATAAGAGGCCTAATACGGTCTAATACATATCTGTTGTCTGTACTCAACCCCTTATGACTCAGAGTTGTCCAGTTTGAAGGTCCCCTCCCTCTCCTCTTCGCAGTAGTAGTAAATGATCTCATCCTTGCTGTTCTGTAAATAGAATACCTAAGAAAAGAGTGGGGCTCTGGACCATACGAGGGAAAACCTCGTAGTTAGGTCTGCACTGCGGGTAAAGCGAGTCCCTTTCGCGTCGAGCATGCGAGAAATCGTACAGGATGTATCTCGTTCCAGGCCATCTCGCTTTGTCGTTTCATGTGACATAACACAGCATATGCAAGAGTATACGAACGGCGCTGGAGCGCCGTGAAGCAATTTCAGTTTTGTCCGGTAAGTAATGCTAGGTTAAATTGATCAGATGAGGTTTTCATTCGAAACGCGAATTATCCCGTCATGATTTGCCAGCGATCTATAGCACACAACCGACTTGAAGTGAGGTTTGCGACAGCACTATTGTTTTGAAGAAGTTTTACCCACAATCATCGAACTCCTAAAAAAAATAACCTGTCTCTGCCCTCTCACCACATTTTCAAGCAGGATTTCTCTTTGCGGCTAAACTTCAGAATACCCGGCCACATCATTTCCATGTCATTGAATGAGAATAGCGTCGATTGTGTTGCTCCTTGCTCCCTTTGCGGCTAAACTTCAGAATACCCGGCCACA